CCTTATAATACGTTAGATTCTTGTACAAAACAAAACAAAAACTATTGCTATCTATTCAGAAGTGTTATTACTGAGAACTTTGTTGTAGGGCAATACACTCAAATGCTCCGTTGAAGACATTGAGCGCTTTCGTCGAGAGTCAGGGATGACGACATGCGTAGCTTACTAGACGTAAGATTCAAAATATTCTTTCAAACATATTATTAATACGTTAGATTCTTTTAGTTAACAAAATTTTGTTCAATAGAGGCTGTCACGTTGGCTACGTCGTATGAGCTGCTTGTTGTGGTTGCAGGACAGACACGACGCAAGACGTGTATGTTCCTTCCACAGATAGAGGAGGCTTAGGTTCCTCTAGCCAAGTAGCTACAGGGGACGGGGACGGGGACGATGATGAGGACGACGTGGACCAGAGGCACGAGGAGCTTGTTCCCTCTCAGCTCCATGACGCTCCCTCAACTTAGCCTACACAGCCTCCAGGCACTAGGCGACGCCATCCACCTGACCCTTACACTCCAGGTACGAGCGCTCTCGGTCACAAGGGTAAGGGTAAGAGTAGGAGGCTGTGAGGGTTGTGGTAGATGTTAGTATGCACTATTATGGATTTTGTATTTACTTTCGTGTAACTATTTGGGACTGTATGGACATTATGGACTATTTGGACTATGTAGGACATGTTATGTTGATTGTGATGTTCGTTGTGGTTGCATTGTGCTCTTTGGATGATTAAATATTTGGATTATATAATGATGTCTCTGTTTGTAACTGTGGATGCTCCTGAAACAAGGGAAACTCTTGCGATTTTTTTTCGTGAATCATTAATCATACTACACTGCTAAAAAGGCACAAATATAGTACACAGATTAAATGTAAATTCATTAGAATGTGTATAGTCCAATCGTATAGTACAAACGCTTTGCAGATGAATCTAGGCTTTTTAAGTAACATTGATCGAATAAAGGCTTTTCAGATAATGAAAATAGACTTTTCTGTTACAAGGACAACAACGATTTATCACTTCACTAACATAGTACTGGCATGCAAGGAAGCACAACTCTACTCCATCTCCACCATCCATCTTATGACTGTTTGATCCAAGGGCTGAGGTGAAGAGGCACACGGATCACTGACATGGCACATTGAGAGGCCTCCATTCCTACTCTCAACCTATAAATAACCCCTCACTCCCTCTCATTCACACACATAACAAGGAAGAATAGCACTCCTCAACATTTTCTTTCGTTGCAGTACCAATGTCTAGAGGGTCGTTCAGAGAGAGAGGAAAGAGGAAGGGAACAACAATTAGGTGGGAGGGTCCTCTTGGTCCCGATTTCTTTGAGGAAGCTCTTTATGAGAGGTTCCCAGTTGAGAGCAAAAGCGATTTCACCAAAGAGGCACCACTGAGAGGATACGATGAACGGAAAGAAGAGTAGCCAAAATGCATGCATGGTGAGGACTGCCTAGTGTAGATGTTCACCGAGGGAATAGATGGAGGTCGTCGTTTCTTCAAATGCCCGCGAGCATGAGTAATTTCTATTAGTATTTTTTTCTTCAATATGTTCCTCTTCTATACAACTTACATGACATACTTATTGCAGTCTTCCTTGGCCGAAGAAAACTGTGGGTTCACTAGGTGGGTCAATCCTCGATCTATTTATCCGCATGCGGAGTACATGTACTACCTGCAGGACCGTATCTTCGATCTAGAAAGGGAAGTTAGCAGTGGTTACAAGGACGACGAACAGAAAGGCGACAACAATGGTGCCAGTTCACAGGAGGCACTCTGCAATAATTCATATTGCACCTGCCCTAATCACAGGAACAAGGGTCCTCCGCCACCACCCCCGCCGCCACCACCACCAACAATGGGAGGCTACTTTGGAGAAGGTGCAACACAATTTGCTATGTGGCCACACTACTAGGATGACTTTATCTTATTCACATGCCACATCTATGTGTTTGTTGTTTGGTTTAATTATCTAAGGCATGTTAGGTTTAGTCGAAAGAACTTTGTACCCTAGTTTGGTACATGTTCTTATATGTCATTTCATGTGTTTTGTGTGTTGAATTATATAATGCCCTACTTCGTTAGGTTTTATTTGTAGCCCGTGATCACATTTCAATACGTCCGTAATATTAAGCTGAATATTATGACCACAAATAATGAAAACAACCACATAATGAAAAGTCCAATACTATGCCATATTAAACAACATAATAATACTAGAAGTACGTGCCGATAGTAGACATAGGGGGCAAATGCACTTTCAAATCCTCGGTCTGAAACATACTGAGTAAGCAATTCATCATCTGAGTACCAATACTCTACCACAACCCTGTTGTTGTGGCTAGGCTCACCTGTGTTGCTCTGTCCTGCCTGTCGCCTGTAGTAAGCGGCCTCCGCTTCATCTACAGCCGCTGCGGCCTGAGTGAAGAACGCGTCGTCATCCTCCTCCGCCTGTAAGCTCGCCTCTGCTAGAGCGATGAGCTCGCTCAGTCTACCAGTGTCGTCCTCAGCCTCCTCCGCCTGCAAGTCCGCCTCTGCTAGAGCGATGAGCTCGCTCAGTCTGCTAGTATCGTCCTCAGCCTCCTACGCCTATAAGCTCGCCTCTGCTAGAGTAATGAGCTCAATTAGTCTGCCAATGTCGTCCTTATCCTCGTCCCCCTCATCAGACAACACAATCGGTGATTGAACGGTGCGACCAGCTCGCGATCTATGCTCATCTAACTTCTTCTCCTCATACCTTGCACAAGCCATCTCTGCGGCATGTTCCTCACTGCAACCAATCCCTTTATGTATAAAATGCAATTAGTTAGCAACGCGATTATATTACATTTAAAATCAGGCAATAAAAAAAAGGCATTCAAGCACTCACTGACACATAATGCAACAACATGCTCGTTCAACACCTGCATCTGTACTCTTGTCTCCTTCCTTGCCCTCTCCTCCTCTAACGTCATCCGCCTCTCCAATCCCTATTTGTAAAGCCCAACATCGATCGGGTTACAAATACCGCGCTGCCTAGCAAACTCACACATCTTTTCTTTATGTTGTTTAACGAATAGGTTGACGTAGTCAGGTCCATATTCCCTCTTCCGTGCAATTACTTGCCTTCCCTTTAGTTCATCTAAGAACTTAGCTTGACCATCATAACATTCCCACCTGCATTTCCTAGTGCTCTGTACAAACGAAAAATTATATCATATATGTCTTAACAAAAGAAATAAAATACGATTTCATGTTTACCACAAAAATAACCAATCTCATCATAGTCAACCATATGGCCGTAATAATGGCCTATTCCAAGCTCCGAAGGGACTAGGCCATAGTTGGATTTAACACCACATTCTCACATGACAGGTAGTGCTTTGTAAATTACCCTTTCTTTATTCTTTTCCTTAACCTTTCGCGGTTCTTTCGGCCATTGGTTCTTAGGACCATACAACCACTACTTGAAACGACACTTCGCCATTGAAAACACCTAAATAAGGTGACATTAGTACATGAACACATATAGCTCAACATTTCAACACATACACTTTGCACTTACTTCATGCTTGCTTGGACACACAAACTCCAATATATTCTCAGGGTTTATCACAGCTCGATCTCCGCAATCACACAGAGGAGGTTCCTCGAGTCGTCTAACTGCGGTTAGGTGCTTCTCCTTAGCTGTCATTGGCGGAGGGTTAGAGGGGTGGAACCCACCGCTTGAAGTGCTCACGTGGATGTTTTCCTCTAAATCAATCGTCGAAAAGGAGGTACCTATGGTCAAACTTGTCTGCACCGTCGATCCACTGAAAGAAAAAGCACCTCTCATGATCCTACACAACGAGATTTCAACAAAATATTAGTAGCATACTTACACAAATAAAGAAAAAAGATAGTGGAAATAATTTCTTACATTAAAACGACTACATGTGTAGAAGCACCACGCCGCTGTGTCCGGATGTTTTGATTGAAAAACGTGGGCCGGGAAAGCACAGTCACAGTTAGGGACAGAGAGGTCAGGAGGGACGGGAGCATCTTTGCTAGACGCGTCGGAGTATAATTCTCGAGGACGACCCCGTTTTCGCCAAAACTCCTGATACATTTTTTGCATCTAACAAAACAGATATAATTTAACAATCAAAAATCAAAACATCACAAATAAATGTCAATGAGAACCATAACTACAATACAACCAATTTCGTTCTAAGAACCAAAAGCAATTAATATTAAACCATAAACCTAGGGTTTCTCATTTGATGCACAACAATGAACCCATAACATAACTACATGCGCTGCGGTTACCTAGGTTTGCTAGCTTTTCCACGCCTTGGCATCATTCTACGGTTGTATAATACAAATATTGAGGGATAGAATGAAACCTTAAGTAATGACGATTCTTAGGTTAAAAAATCCGACTAATATATACCGAATCGATGCGAAAAGAAAACTAGAAAGGGAGCGAGGATATCTTGCTCTCGAAGATGTACGGATCAAATCAAAGTTTCCAAGGTCCAATATACCGATTCGTGAGGTAGGTCGAAGTGGGGAGAGAAAAAATCCGAGAGGGAGGAGAAAGAAGAGGAAGAAGGCTTGGGGCAGGAAGGTTGGGGCGGGGCTAAAACACAAGCTCGGCGCCATTCAATCTGCCGCCGAGCTCGGCGCCAGGATCTACGGCGCCGAGCTTGGCGCCAGGGTGACTGGCGCCGAGCTTCCTGCCATGTCACCTTTACGTTTGCTTCGAGCCTAAGAGCTCGGTGCCAGCAACGTGGGTCCAGATTTTGAAATCTTTCCTCTAGGGACATATTTATGAATTTTTTAAAAAAAAGAGCTAAAAAATAAAAAATTCAGGCAGGCGGCGGAGCTGCAGGAGCTGGGGTCGAAGAGCCAGTCCGCCTCGGAGTGGCACTGCGAACACGGCTTGCACTGCACCCACGACACGTCGCTGCCGGTGTCGATGGACATGGTCTGGGTCACGGCCGGCGACCCGATGCCGACGGTGATCACGTACTCCAACGTGCTCAGGGAGGTGCCCAGCGTCCGATTGCTCGACGTCGCCACCCTTGGTGCCAGAGAACTTCCGTTTGATGTAGGCGGCTCGAAGCTGATCACGCTGGAGCCTCTCCTCCACGGTGGGCATCTTCTTGGAGGGTGCAGCCGAGCATGGGCCGTGCCGGTGGTGCAACGGCACCGTGACGCCGCCGCTGGATGATGGAGTCACTGAAACAACCAGTCCAAACAGGGGAAACGATTACAACTTGACACAAAAATGGTGTAACCAACTGGAATTGCAGGTGCGTTCATGGACATTACTGCACCTTTGGCCTCGGAGCAGGTAGCGGCAGACTTCAGAGAGCCAACGGACAAAACCTTGTGGCGGCGATCGTCTGCTGCGTGAGCAACGAGAGTGAGATAGCTGCACAGCAGGAGAAGCAGAAACTTCGAAATAGATGCCATGGTGTGCCGTTTCTTGCTTCCCAGGCTGAGATGCAGTGAGATGCAGCTTCAGAATGCGAACCTGCTTACATAGAGAGGAGCAGCATGGCCCGGCACGAAGCCACGACGTCACGAACGCAACCAGGCTTGGCGATGAAGACTCGTGGTGGACTGGGTAACGGTGACGTGTATACATGGGGACGACCGAAATCAGCCCCAATGCGTGTCGTCGCCTCTTCTAACCGTAATGGACGTTGCCGCTTGGTCATCAGTGCAGTCTGTTTTGAAATGGAAAAAACGTAACGTGTCCTCGGCAAAACGCCATATCAGAGCATTTTCGAGTGTGCTCGGCAAAATGCCTATCATCACTTGTTGGAGGGTATTTTTTTTATCAAAATATTTATTCCTATCAATAAAGAAGGATATAAAAGACTCTTGGAGGGAGTTGCTCTCAGTCTCCTTCAATTTGGAGAGTTTCTATGGCAACCGGCTACAAAAACCATGATGTTACATAGACAGTGGCGGATCTATGATTGGGACAAAGGAGGGGCTGAACAAAGAAGATTTAGGACTAAAGCTAAAAATTAAAGGTGAATTCACACTAAGCTACAGTAATTAATGAAAGATTAAGGCAGCTTAGGGGGGCTGTAGCCCCGGCAGCCCCCCCTTTAGATCCGCCACTGTACATAGATATCAAAATTGTTTCATTGTTATAGTTGATCCACAGTTCCGCACTAATAGCAGGTCTGGACTTGATAGACAATGTTTTTTTTAATCTATAAGGGTTATGGCACCAACTCACCATGGTCTATTTATCCATCTGTTGATTTTGTTTCTAGCCAGTTCACAGTTGACCCCAGCTAAGTCTCCTTGCGTGCCATATATAGTCTGCAAAATGTCTACCTAACCACACATCCACGTCGCCGAAGACGACATACTTCATCTCATCATATGCATCTCTCTGTTGTATGCTTAAAACAAGTCAATGCCACCATAACTAATCAAAGCCCTTATATGCATGAGATTGATAAACATCATTTGTCTAATTGTTGGATTTGTTCCATATCTTAGCTACAAACTTTCTAAATAGAGTTCTTTTCTAGTTATATAACATCTTAGTTATTTCACATCTATCTCAACCATGTCAATTTTCTTTAATTCACAGTTAACATTGGATGATATGACATTTTTTTAACTCTTCTTATAATACACTAACTTTTATATAGGTGTTTTGACAGGATAGAAACCACCAATTTTTAATGTATTTTCAATTTTCAATTTAGCTATCTTCTAATTATAATTCATATGGACCCATTATTTAGCTTTTTTGCTTCCTTATTCATTTAGATACCGAGCTACTAATTTTTATAGTTTCTTATTATCCAAATTTGGGCTTTACTAATTATGTTTTACATAGAATCTATATTTGGATATTTTTTTCTTCTCAGTTCGCATGTAGATCAATACCACTTCTCCACAATTTCTCATTCCGTATTTATTAACTGTAATAAATAGCATGAACTAACTCATTGGTTCATCATAAAATCAACCGTGTTATTTATTTTTTCAACTAATGCATGTGGTGGCTTCTTTTAATGTTATGGTTTGAGTTGTTTCTGAGAAAATTATGTACTACTTCAGTCTAGGACAGACTCAAGAAGCGCTCAGTAAGGGCACATAACGTACTTAACTTCTAAGTTTAAATGGATTTGGACCTATTTTTTTAAGCCCATGAAGCCTTAATAAAGAGAAGGGGGATGCAGCTTAATTATGATGCAAGGGGGACTTGGTTCTTTCTCTCATGTCTTCTCTTGCCTACTGCTTTTCTTCCTTTCTTCCTCACACCTCATCTTCTTTCTTCTTCCAAAAATGGACAGGCTCACCCGGGGGGTTCAATCGTACGGGAGGCTACAGGAGGGGGTGGTCTAGCCCCGCTCGCTGGATGCACCCCTGAATCTATCTCTTCGTTATGTAAGTAAAGAAAGCCTAACAATGAACATCCCAAATACAATAAAATTATTTTTTTGAGAACACGTCCATTGACACGTGTTTCATTAAGAGAGGAAAGTCCGAAAGAATGGCATACATTACAAAGCTATGGGAGATCCCATAGTGCAGACTACATAACCACGGAGGTAATTTTGTTCTAAGTTATATGTTACTTTATCTTTAATATCATAAGTTATTTTTACACTAACAAAAGTTAAAGAAAAATACATAGCATCAAACTAATTTCAGTAGTTGAAGCGGTCATTGTTAAAGGATAAGAGCAGCTCCAACAAACTGAGTATATATATTCGTGAAGCCATTTATAGTTTGTTCTAAGTTATATGTTACTTTATCTTTAATATCATAAGTTATTTTTACACTAACAAAAGTTAAAGAAAAATACATAACATCAAACTAATTTCAGTAGTTGAAGCGGTCATTGTTAAAGGATAAGAACAACTCCAACAGACTGGGTATATTGTGCTCAAAAAAGCATTCCAACAGCTTGCCTATATTGTTTTTTATTTTTTCCAGCTGGCTATCCTATCATTCTCACTGGTCATATTTTCCTAGCGAATACTGCTTGCTATTTGTGTTTTCCAATTTAGTTAGGCTGTTGTAAAACTCTACATTTTAGATAGACTTTCTATTTTACACAATAGCTAAATCTCACAATTTAGCATCTAATTTACTAAGTCTCTTGGAGTTGCTCTAAGCACCAGCGATCAACAACTTTCGGTAGTCACCTTCGAATTTTATGAATGATATAATGGTCTGTTTAAAATTCAAAGTGCTCAAAAGATGAGTCCTTTCAAGTTTCAAGTGAGACTCCAAGTAGTCATCTTCTAATTTTATGATGATATATAATGGTCTGTTTTGTAAAAATCGAAGTGCTCAAAATATGAGTCTTTCAAGTGGAAACGGGCCGGGTGGTATGTTTGGCCAGCGGACTCGGACCGGTTTGTTAGCTGACTGGTACGAAATTATATAATGGCTGTCAGCATTATTATATTTCCACGTCGTTTTCTCTTGTCCCGTCGTGTCATGCATACTGTTCACTGGGGGGGGGGGGGGGGGTTGTTGTCGAAAGTCTGGACCGGTTCGGCAACACGTCACATCGCGCGCCATCGTAGAATCTATACGCACGTCACGCTCTCTAGGCTGTGTTTAGTTCCCCAAACTTTGCACATAAGAAACACTGTGCACTGAAGTGGTACTGTAGTTTTTCGTTTGTATTTGATAATAATTGTCCAATCGTTGACTAATTAGACTTAAAACGTTTGTCTCGTGCAAAGTACAATCAAACTATGTAATTAGTTATTTTTTTACCTATATTTAATACTCCATACATGTGTCAAAGATTTAATGTGATATGATGTGATGTGATGAAAAATTTTGCACTGTGTAAACTTTGGAGATACCCCGGTGGAACTAAACAAGGGCCTAATGGATCAAACCCCGGCCTGTCCTTTCGAAAGAACAAGTCTCCAAGAAACTTCTTATTTTTTAACGTACCTCCAGACGTTATGAACAAACACCCCAATCATTCTTTCTGCAGATTGGTAAATACGCTTGGTTTTGTTCATTGATTCACAGCTATAGCTCGTTAACATTAGACAGAAGGGTCAATGGGTCAACAATAATGGAGCTGGGGTTGGATTATAGCTGGTTTCGAAGCACAATTAAGTGCACAACCCATCAATCTCTCTCTAGCTATATCCTTTCTTTCTATTGACAAAATAATAATAAAAAACCGGGACATGAGCACTGCCAATCTTATTCTAGAAGAGGAGGATATAACGACCAAAGAGAGAGCTCTAGCATGGACGCAAATTCCGGTAGGGTGCACCATATGTAGGCAAAAGGTCATCTCAACAGTCAACACCTCATGGTTCACATCGATGAATCTGTTAGCAGTCCGGCCGCCGCCTGCCCGACTCTCCTCTGCAAGCTGCCTCTAAATGGACTTTGACCTATGACCGGCGACGCGCGCAATACGAGAGTTGCTTCATTGACGCATTGGCGACGTCGTTCTGTTATGCAGTTGGCGACGTCGTGGGGCAGACGTACGGTTTCGCATGGTATGCACTATGTAAAAAAAAGCAACGCATCCACCATTTCACCATAGACACGACCAATAAGCGCGTCTGCTGTAGTATAACTACAGACGCACCTTCCTGATACGCATATATAGTAAGTCGTCGGCAGGGGTCGTCGGTCCAGCGAGGTCAACACGTGTCTATAATAAGCGCTTAATGCAGACGCGTGTTGGTAAAAGGCGTCCGAGATAAACCTGCAGACGCGTGTATGTAAAAAGCGTCTGTATCTGCGGCAGTTATTACAGACGTGTGTTGTGATTTCCGAGTCTCGGATAACGGGATCGAACGCTACGGACGCGTGTACGTGACACGCGTCTGTAGTAAGATCTCTTATTGCAGACGCGTGCTTTCAACACGCATCCTGAGTAATCCTATTTGTAGCAGACGCGTCCTCCTCTATACGCGTCTGTACTTTGTGGCAGACGCGTATTCCATACGTGCATCTGTAGCACTTGGCCTACGTACTTAGCCATTGGCACGCGCTAACGGACAGGGGGAGGTACTTGGCGCGTATGGAGCATAGCAGTCAGTGGCTCTTGCGTGGCTTTGAGGAGCGCGGGCGGAGTTGGCGGGCGGCGGCCGGAGTTGCGTAGCGTGACCGCAGGCGGGAGGCGGAAGGAGGGGCGCGCGGCAGCCGTCGGGGCGCGCTGATGTGGCGGGCGGCAGGCTGGAGGGGCTCGCTGCTGCAGCGAGTGGCGGTGGGCGGCTAGGCATAGGTGAGCAAGTCTTAAGCTCGAGCCACCGTGAGTCCTCTCTTTCCCTCTTCTCTGCCGGAGCACCGCCGCGCCGCTCGACGGCGAAATTCATCGTCGTTGTTCCATATCGTACCAATTTCCCATGCTCTCAGCTCCACCTAGTTCTTGCGGTCCTCCTCGAACCACAATAGCCACCTCTCACCATCGCAATCGCCTTCGGCGTCGGTTGTCGCCGCGG